TATTAAAGACAGTTGAAAACTGTTATAAATACATTTATAATTAATCTCATCCGTTGTTCCCATTCCAAATGTATCACTTTGATTCTATTTCCACAGTTCTTAATCAGGGATGTGAGTGGAGCACCCGGGAGGAACGGTAAGATTGAAGTTTCATTTATTTATCCAGTTTAACTCTTAAATTCCATATACAAAGCACCTTGTAACGAAGATATGGGAACCTCATTTATGCTAAACTTTTCACACATATTTTAGTAAACGAAAAAGACATGGATGGAAAGACAGCTCTGCATAGAGCTGCTTTTGATGGTAATTTTGGACATTTTTTATAAAAAAGAATGTTTTGTTCAATCCGTTTCATTGATTTATGAATATTTTTTCATATTCTTTCAGGCAAAGTGAAGGAAGTTAAAAACCTCATCGTTGAAGGAGCTGACCCCAATATTGGAAATAAATTTAATGAGACAGCTCTGCATTATGCTGCTAAGAATGGTAACGTTGAATACTTTTTGTTATTGAACAAAAGATTGACCTGATTTTATCCCATCGATCGATGTTATTGTTCAGGTCACAAGGACGTCACTGAAGTTCTCAGCCGTAAAGCAAACGATCTTAATATTAAGAATGATTTTAATAAGACATCTCTTCATTTGGCAACTATGAATGGTAAGGTTGACTAAATAAGATATCCCACCGATCTCTTTCATTGATCCGTATTGTTTTAGGTCACGGAGGTGTCGCTGATGTGCTTCTCAAGAATGGAGCTAACGCTGATATTGGAGACGATTTGAATAGCACAGCTCTTCATATAGCTGCATCCGGTGGTAATATTGAATGCTTGTTCTTATTAAAGAAACGATTGATTTGATCTCTTTCATCCGATTTTTTTCCAGGTCACAAAAATGTCGCCGAGGTTCTCCTCAACAAAGGCGCTAATATGGATATCATGAATCATTTTAATAATACACCTCTTTATTATGCTGCTCGACATGGTAATGTTGAATAGTTATTTTCACAAAATACTCAACAAAACCCGCCGCACACAAAGCAGTAGTGCAGCCGTTCTATTTGCACTTCGGAGATTTTCGCTTATACATCGCACGTTCATCGTGTTTCTTATGCGCCGAACGCTCCATAGCAACTCATTCCATCACTGTAGCCATGCAAATTTTGCCTATGTTTTCATTCTCTGCATCTTCCGTGCGTCGTATGGAACTCGGCTTTGAGCGTTCGGCGCATACATACACACACATGTCTGTGTACTGATTTTGTTCGTACGAAACACGATGAACGGGCGATGTATAAACGAACAACGCCGAAGTGCAAACAGCACCACTGCACAACTGCTTTCTGTGCGACGGATTTTGTTGAGTAAAGAATCGGTTTGATCTTTTTCATCAATCCAAATTATTTCTAAAATTACATTTCTAAGGTTACAAAAATGTTGCTAAACTTCTCATCAAAAAAGGAGCCAAAGTTGATATTAGAAATATTTGGAATCAAACACCTCGTCAGTTAGCTGTTGAGAATGGTACTGCTGACTAAATTAAATACCGCTTTGATCTTTTTCATTGATCTGTATTATTATTTTTTAGATCACAATGATGTCGCTAGACTCTTTATCGGTAAAGGAAACCGAATTAATATTGAAGAACTATTGGAATAGATTCAATATGCTGCCAACAATAGTAATGTTGAATATTTTACTTTTCCGTACACTTTTTTAATGGAATTGAAATGGAAAGCTTTTTTCAATCTACGATTAAATTTTAAATAAAACAGCTTAAAGTGACTTTGCTTTTTCAACTTTCAAACACAAATCAATATGAATATTTATTTATAAACGAAATTTTGGTTCGGATGCATTTCGACATTTGTCATCCTCAGCGAGTATCAAATTACACTGGACTCAGCTCTCTGTGAGTGAGAGAAAAAAGAAAAAAATTATACACAGAAGGCAAAACATGTAACAATGTGTTGTGGCGCGAGCGCACGCCAAAAAATTACAACAACTAAAACAATAAAACTCGGTGTAACCGAAACAGCTACTCGAAGTAAATTTCAATCGATCTGAACAGTGGTGACCGTATTGGTGCTTCTATCGTGGTCATTGCGATGCTTCTGTTTAAATACATATAGATACTTTTGTATGCGTCGAGTTTGCGAGGAATTGGATATAAAACTCATTTTGGATTTTGCACCAAATCACAGTAGCGACCAACATGAGTGGTTCCAAAAGTCATCCAACCCAAACCATCCAGAATACGAAAAATACAAAGATTA